ATGCTTTCGAATGCTCACACCACAGTTGATGCTTCCCATCACCGGGAAAGTGGTCGAAAGAGGTCGCGCAAGGATTCTTCAAGTGATGAGGCAGGCCATATTAATCACGGGGACCGGGACAGTGAAGCTGAATCGCTGATCGGTGTACATGTTAATTAAAAAAACTTCACACACACACACACACACCTACTTCGTAGTAGCGTTCCTCGATTGGTAAATCAAGTCAAACGAGTGGTTTCATTGCATATAATTGGCTTCCTCAATCAACACCTCACATGTGCAGGGGACAAGCGACAGTGAGACTGGCAGCGGGAGTGAGGAGGAATCAGAGAGCTCAGGAACGGAGAAGAAAAAGAAAAACAAGAATAAGAAATCGAAAGGAGGCAAGACCAAGAAGAGCAAGAAGTCGAAGAAAAAGACTAGTAGGAAGATCAAGAAAAAAGGGAAGAGGTTGGCAAGAGAGCAAGAAAAGGAACGAAAGAAGAAGGAAAAGGAAGCCGAGAAAGAAGAGCAGAAGAAAGCACGTGCCGAGTTGCGAGAGAAGGTCGCTGATTCCAAGAAGGTGCCTCCTTCGCGCCAAAACAGTGCAGTATAGGTACCCGGGATATCGATATTCGATAGCTTGATTCCAGGTCCTGGGCCAGCTGAACTCCAAGATCAATGGCATCAGGGACAAGCTCAAGAACACCGACAAACTGCATGTTCCTCAAATATTGGCTTAGATGCATGCATGTATGTATTTATATATATATGCATAATCAGCACATTTCAACACGAGCATTCTGAGATCCACATAATGCTACAACACCATTTATACTTAGGCCTGAGGATTTGGCCAGCCCTATCAAAAAGGCTCTTATGGGTGAACGAAAGACTTTGGTATCTCACCGTGATGCCCTTCAGACAGCTTGCAATATCGACTTGGACAAATTTAAGGACTGGTTCAAGTACACCATGCACACACGTGCTTTCAGCCCTGCCTTGCAGGAGGAGAAGTGCAAATCTGTGACTCAAGCGGCCGAGCTAGCTTTAGAGGAATACCAATCATTTTTGGATAAAATGCGTTGCTAGATCTGATAGCGACGTTCGACCAGCTAGGGCCTTCTTTGAGCTTTTTTTGAAGCCAAGAGGCTGAAGACTGGCGATGAGCCAGCACACCAATCCAAGCTTCCTTAGGCGCTCGTCGATCCAATGATATATCACGCAAAACAGGCTTGTCATATATAGATCCTATTTTTTGCACGTGCTATATATATATATATCGATTTCGTGGGTCGAAGCATGGAAGCCTCTAGCGTTTGATGTCGTAGAATGTAGTGCGGTGCCATATATGCGAGGGCATTGCCACGTAGCATGCAGCTGCCTGTCCAGTCTAGTACTGTGCACCTAATTCATGATTCAGTGTACGTGCTGTTCTCTTTACAATGCACAGATTCACGATATATTAATTGGGAGACAGAGCAGTTTGATCCTTTGCCTCGAATGTAACAAACATTCATGAGGCTGGGCCCGCTATGTGGTTTGGGATGCAACATTGGTAGCCAAACTCCAGGGGAAAAAACGGAAATATTGAATCATGGAGCCACATGATTTCCTGTGCATGTTGACGGGTTCAACCTTTTTCCAATGGGGGTCACGCCGCAGAACCTGGCGAGCACCACAGAGAAGATGGTGGAGCTTTTTTCCAGAATGCAATAGATGATATCCAAGCAGGGGCCACCCGGCATGAAATTATATCCCCTTGTCTTGAGTCATTCCCTCTAGCAGCGACTTGCAGACTAGCCTCTTTTCAAGGCCAGCAGTGCAAGATCCATCATTCGCAGGGCCAGGGCCCACGTTGAGGCAGCCCGCATGTTATCGCTTCATGATTCGTGTGATCCGTGATGTGCATCGATCAAACGACAAACGTACATGGTCAGGAAATTGAAATGTACAGGACAGGTCTCTCATCATGGAGCATTTATATGTGTATAACATGTTTGTCGTTTATATCGTTCACCCTGATAATCACACATCGGTTTTTGCATGGCAGGATTGCCATGGCAACTGCCATCCCTTGAGTGAACGTCTCGGCCGATTTGCAGAAGACAGGAACAGCGCTAGAAACCTCTTCCGCCTGTGTGATTTGGAACTTGCTCCTAGTCTGGAACAAACCAGGATTCGAGTTAGCTAGATCAATTAGAATCAATATAGTGCAGGGGTGCGCCTGTCTGTTGTGCATGCGTGCTGGAATGTTCATGCTGTGAATCTGAGGAGCCGACTATGCTGAAAATTCCCATCAAAGCTCCAAAAATGCCGGGTGGGTATGAGATGAAGCCGTCTCCCCTTCTGGAGCCGCATCTAGTGATGCATCACCTGTTTACAACTATTGGCGTTCAAGTTCCCACAGGCAGGGTTCACAAGTTCTGGAGGATTCACCGAACAGAGTTGAAAGAGCCATGGGCGGTAAACAACGTTGCTTCGGACGATCATGTTCCGTATGCACTGTACGGAGATGCAGCAAAAATCCAAGATGACGGTACCAAGATGGTCGGAATCTTCTTATCGCTACCTGCTGTTTGGCGACCCCGGTCTGGTCGCTGTGGGAGATTTTGCCTTTGGGCGATGGAAGAACACAAATTCTTTGGTCATCACACTTTGCACGCAGTATTGACTTGCATCGTGGTCAGCTGCATCCGCATGTTTCATGGTTTTGACCCGGAGAGACCCGCTTTGAATTTCGCTGGAGGAAGGAGATTTGTTTGCACAGAGATCAAAGGAGACTGGCAGTGGTTGAAACAGCAGTTCCGATTTCGGAGCAACTGGAACAAACCAGACTCCGTGTGCTTCCTTTGCACCGCCAAGGGTCGAAGTCCGTGTGAGAAGGATTTATACTATTGTTTGGACAATCAGCACTGGATAGATTATGACTTGGTATCGTTCTTGGGCGATCAGATGGGGGAACTTCAAAACCCATGCACCTATGACCAATTAATGAGTGTAGAACGGAGTACGTTTGGATACATGATATTGTAATCAATCGATCTTTAAACTTGATCAGATCTAGTTCAATAATATGCAATTGCTAAGGTCCACTGATACTATTACCAGGATTTCACCCTCAATGTCTTCAGCCATGTAGCATGCATTGCTTGAACCTGGGCCTTGCCTTTGATTGTAATGGCGTTGGCCTGAAGCTTGGCCACCAGAGACCGTCCCACCGATCCACCCAAATTGACCAACCTGAAGTCTGCATGAGCCTGTAACGCCAAGATTTAGATTTTTGTTCGACATTTGCAGCACGCTTGTTAATCAAACTTTTATTTTGAGGATGGCCCTTTGTGATCTGCAGTTTTTTGGTCCGGCGACTGATCTCCAAGACCAACTAGACTTGGCCTATGACTCGTTCCGCTCCTTTTGTCGGGCGGAGAAGATCTCAACATCGCAGCCACCTTTCAAAGTGCGACATGCCACTGGCATGAATGTTTTTGGTCGTGTGTTTATGTCCGCTCGTTGACCCGTGTATGTTTTGCACTCATGAAGCATTCGCTAGATATACTCTTGCTCATGCGTGCCAGGTTTTGAAGCGAGATGGCTCCACCTTGTTGACGGCGAAGGCGTTCAACTCTAGAGTCTTGAGTGAATGGCTGGCGAGGAGCCTAGGTGACGCTGCGCAGCGTCCAGAGCTGGTCAACGTGGATTCCCGACTACCACTCTTGGCTTCGTGTTTGCTGCTTGTTGGATGTTTTGTGAAGCGTTCCAACACCACCAAAATCCTAAGTACAGCAGCTAGCAGCTAGCAGCATGCAGCAGCAAGAATACATATATTATAAATTTATAACGGATCAATACACTGGCACCTTCCAGCCCCAGGTTGAGCCTAGCTCACTTCTTTGGCATCAGCGAGAGGTCTGGCAGGGTGCTTACGGAGCAGCAGGCGAATGATCTTTTCGAGAGCGGGCACGCACTGTGTGCCTACTATGTGGCCTTGGCAAAGGATGCGTTGAGGCAACCAGCCTTGCAGTGCATCGAGCCATTATAATTGTCCATCGTCCTAGCTAGTCTAAATTTGGCACGTGTGTTCGAGCCACCGGCAGGCGCCAGAAGGACCACTTTAGGCTGAGACCAAAGATACACGCCACTTGCTGGCAATCGTTTGCAGTTCTAGTGCACAAATGCGTTTAGCTAGTTCTTTTTGTTTGGCTGCAAACCGAGTTGGTGCTTCATCTTGCATATGCTGCAAAGAAGTGGCGAAAAAATTATCGTTTTTATCACTGCTTTCAAGATGAAGATGGAATGAAACATCTTAAGAGTTTCTTGGCAGTGTTTGCTTACTTTTTCGGGCCTCAAGGGTTGGTGAGTATTTGTTTGAATGGAGCTGATGAGATTGAGATGATTGCTTATCTGATCTTGTATGTATGCATAATTATGCATATATTTCAGGCATATCGAGACGTGCCCATCCCTTGCATAGATCACGGTGGGTGACGTTCAATACCCGGCTGCGCCTGATTTCGATGAAGTCGAAGATTGCGGCGTCCCTTGATCTATATGATTGTTTGGCAGAGAAGGTGAATGCACGCGTTGTTTCAAGTTGATTTGTTAAATATGCAGACCATGGCACGCTTGTGAGCGTGTGTGTGTGTGTGTGTGTGGGGGGGTGGGGACGGTGCCAAGGTTGAACAACTCTGTCAAGAAGCGTCACCTCAAGGGTGCCATGTGATGGAAAAAAGAGTGCTGACAAGCCCGACAGTGATACCAAAACATGGAGAAAGAAACCGAGTTGCAAAAAATGTCCTTGGACAAACAATGTCTCTCTCCACGGCGGACATTCTTTTAATAGTCTTCGGAAGTATTGGGGATCCCAACTTAGAAAGTGCTCTGTAACTCTCGCTCTACACATATAGTATGTGTTTCTGCTGTATATACATAAAGTACATATGACATATGATGTTTCTTTGTGTTTCTGCTATTCTTATCAGCTTCAGAAACGTCGACCTGGACACCACCCACCGGCTGGCCTCATTGCCAGCCTCCTGAGCCTTGTCGCGCACCGAGCGGCCGGGGGACCAGCCTGGCGAACCGCTTCGCCGGTGGACACCGGTCTTCATGCCGGATTCCGAGGGCCAGGACGTTAAGTGGCTGAACCTGGGGAAGTACGGCACAGCCAGCGATCTAAGCAGCTGCCTTGGAATCCCTACCGAAAAAGAACCCCTCATCTCTGTGCCCACACTGTTTGGGGAATGAAGACTTCAAAAGAATCGAATGGAGACGAAAAGGGGTCATGAGACCATCTGAAACCATGGTGTGTGTCCTGACGTAGGGAAGAAACGCCGGCAAAGAATCATCTGTCATGGTTTCTTCAACCAACTATTCAGACCACACAGGAAATGCATCTTTGTTAATCTTGTTCTTTCTTGTTCTTCTTGTACCAACAGGGCTTCAGGGGACACCCAACTTGATATTTCAGCCACCCCTTCTGTTTCCGGTGATCAGGCACCTTCGCCCCCAGCACCGGTGGCTTTTGGACCGTCGACCCGTGCGGCGAGCCAGCCACAGCGCAGCGAGAGACCGCCTGTGGCCGCGGTGCCGAACGAGAGCATCTCACAGAGGCCGAGCTGGAGAATCGCCTCGGACAGCGGATGGATTGGCCGAGGAATGGAGACGGGGCGAGTGACGTGGCGAAGATGGGGTCGAGGCACTTCGAGACGCGAGGCCTAAGGCGTTGAGGCAGGGAGTTGGATCGATCCACGAAGATGAGAGAAGGTCCAGAGAATTGATGGAAAAGTCCCATGTTGGTCGCCTCATTCTTTGGATCTGCGCGAAAAGCAGTGAGGTCATGGCTCTCTCTCCCACGGGTGAGCGAGCAGACTTGTTGCGGAAAGCGGGACGTTGGAAGGGGCAACTGGAGGGGCACGTTGTCCCCGCCAATAAATCGCTCAAAGAAACTCACCAAAACCATCTTTCCTTCCTTTGAGGCTGTAATCTGCCTTCACACAAAACAATCGAAAACGCTGTGGCTTTGCAGATGAATGAACACCCATCACCAAATTGCCACATGGTCACCCAACATCCCTCCCAGCAAGCCGCACGCGCAGCGCCTGAGCCACTTGATCACCTGAAGTCTTGGCATTCTGGAGCTCCTGAGCTTTCTTGGTTGATTGGTCAACCACAAACAGGGCTTGCGGCGTGAGTCCAAGACAACTTAATTTCAGGCCAGGGGTACACACCATGCATGATCTGGAATTGGGAACCACCAATCGTTTCATTTCTTCTGCTTTGCTCCACTATCCTTCTGCGTGTTGATGCTGTCCAGATGAGATTAAGAACAATTACCATCAAAACAGGTTTCCACTGCTGATCTTTGCAAAAGCTCCCGTTGAATCCTCCGGGCTTTTGTTGCAGTATTGCTGGTTCTGCATAGTTTTGCTCAGCATCCTTGGCAAAGGGAATATACAACATTATACAACAACATACCAATACAACCTAAAGGATTCTTCGGACTGCCCTCTGGATTGGGTGGGAGTCTGGCCGTTGACTCACCGAATGGAGTGGATCGGTCCTGTGAGAGCATCTCTGCTGGCTTGAGTGAGCGTGACTCCTCATCGTCCATGAAGTAGGCCTTCCCCGAAATCAAGTCCACACACACACACACACTAGCAAGGCGATCCCGCACCTCGCGGCGGAGGCCCAAAATGATCAGAACATGCGCCCTACATGCGGCACTCATCGGGCGGTTTTTTCAGATGACGTCCCAGAAGTCTCCGACGGGATCTGCCGGGTGTCCTGAGAGACACCCTGACAGGTGGAAGGACCAGAGCGTGCTCAAGTGCACCACCATGTTGCTAAGGTCTCTCCAAGATGGAAAGGAATCTGTCAAACAAAGGAGACAGGTCACGACCTTTTGCTGGATGACCGGACATCCTTTCAGATCGACAGGTCAGGTGACCTTTCTTTCGCCTTCCAAATTGGATGACCCATCCAATCCAACTTGAAAATATCACCCATCCAAGAATCGTCCCAAGATCGGTGCAACCTTCTTTCACTTTTTTTTTTCAGAGGCCATGGCTTTCATTGGGCTCCCACACACGAACTTACAAGCTCTTGCGGAATTTGCCCAAGTAGACGTTGAAGTATGTATATAAGTATATAAATGAAAAAAGAGTCCAAACTATCAAGAGAAAATTCTATGAGAAGCTTGGGGGGTTACCTTGCAGGGGCTATCTGACCAGCCACGCCTTCAACTGTTGAGTCTTCGCGATCAAGCGGGTGCATTCTGCACATCCCACCGCATCGCCTGAGCCAACTTTGAATCAGAACCCTGGCCCTCAGGAGCAAAGAGAAAACCTGTAACCGCAACTGCCCCAAACCAAGGAATCCCTCAAGACAAACCAACTGAAGATCCTTTTGGATCCTGGAATGCCCCAGTTTTCAAGGACTGGTCAAAGGGCTCAGCCCTGGTCGGCTATCATCAAATCATATCAAATCTGATGAGGTCCTCATCCAAGTCATTGCCCATGTATTTCTGCGAGCTGCTTGGAAAGAAAGAGACATCAGGATACCCCCTGAAGGCCCGTCCATCCACGGATGTGTCCGTTCGACTTGTTGTCAGGCCTGAGCTTCGAAATGCCTGGAGTGCCGATTCAGCTGCAGTCTGCGCTGACTCAATCTCGATCTTGTTCAGATGGCCTGCGTGGCACAAGGGTTTTGCCCAGAAACGCCCGCATTCTCGTTCATGGATGGATTGGACCCTTCTACAAAAAGGGTCCGTGGTCTCCACCTCCAGGCGGATGCAGAACCTGCTACCTAGGGCCCTTTCCTTACTCCAAATATGGCACACCTGGGCACGCCACGAATCACCTGGACCTCAAAACGAATCAGTTCCCCCTGCGATCCGTGTGATCTATCTTGCTGTGAATGACTCCAATCTTTAATCCCCCAAAGAGAGAACAAAGCAGTCTTTCATCTTGCTCTCACAATTCATTCATGTCCCCCACGACCCCCTCCATAAAGCTAATCTTCTGACTCCTTCTTCTTCTCAACACCTGGCCTTCCGCCGCAATCGCCTGCTTAGCCTCAGCTGCACTGGTGTTCCCGCACCACACTTGTGCGGAAGTTGGATCTCCCCACCACACAGTCTGACAAACACAGCGGTTTCTTACGATGTCTTCTTGTTGACTAAAAAGAAGGCTATGGCCAAAACAGGTGGCGCCCCAGCGTGACTTGTAGTGTGAGCTTGCTATGCTGCATCTCAACAAGAACAGTTCATGTGGACACTCGTCCGACGGCTTTGTGGACAGTATCTTCAGAGCTCCAAGATCTTTGGAATCTACGGAGTCCTGAGAAGCATCTGTTCAATCACTGCCACACTCTCCGCTGGATCTGACATTGGATGCTCTTGACCTCCCCTGGAAGAAACCCTTCTGCGGCCCCGTGCTGCAGCTGATGAGTTGCTTGCGAAACCTCACAACCGCAAACCGCAGGGGGAGGACCAAGATGGATGCATTTCGTTTCGAACGAAAGAGGAAACCACCTCATAACCTTTGCAGGTAACCTTTTTCTGGTCAACTTGCTTGGGAAGTGCTTGGGGTGCTGTCAGGCTTGGCCCTTTTCTTCCATGGACACCATATGCATATATATATATATAGTCTACTTAGTCTACTTCCTTAGAAAAAACAAGGATTTGATTGGGTGCTTGGCTGAGCTCCACCCAGGAATCAAAGCATTCACTGGAGTTTCTGAAAAACAAAAAGGACAGAGCAGGCCCCGCCCGACACTGGGCCACCCTGCGAAGCTCTGCGTCATGTCGCTCAGCAATTAGAGGCGTCCTATCCAGAAAATCTACAAATTGTATGTCCTAAAACATCCACAAGAAATCCACAGCTTCTAGATGTCTTTCCTGATGAATTCCGGTCTGTTTTGCGGAGCAAAACATCGCAAGCATTTAGCTGGTCAGCCTGCATACTTCACCCAGAGGAGGCCGAGGATCAAGTAATGGAAAGCTTCCTTGTGCCATGGCCTGCAAGCGAACACTTCGCAGCTCAACTTCAAGCAGGCACAGGACACAGAAAACCCACCCAACCAAAACTCAGGAGAGCACCCCCCCAAACCCCAAAAGTACATTCCTTGAAATAATCATGGACCAATGTCCACTTCGATGATTCTTTCAGGGAGTGCAAATCATCTCGCAAAACCAGTTGAGGTCACCTGCATTGCTTGGGCCAAAAACTTGTGAGGAAAGTAGAGCAAAACTCACAACTGGTGACCAAATAGAATTTTGTGGAGGTCGTCAACCTTCAAGAGGTAATGTTTTCCCTTGACGACTTTCGGTGGTGAGATGGCAATGCGTGAGGTGGAATCGCATCCTGATGCTGAGATATCCAGCGTTCACAGGCGAATTGGCGGACCCAGTTTAGCTCTCAAGAAGGATTTTGCGCAAACAACGGCCTGGTTTCAATGTCTACTGCAAGTCAGCAAGATGTCCGGGACAACCCGTCCAAACTGTTGCGACCTCTTCAAACCCTGGTGGTTTTGGACAAGTCTCCCCCATCAGTCACTGACACACCAGGCCCCGCAACAGAACTCATTTGGCCTGGTGGCAGTTCCGCCTGCCGTGGCCCAGAGAAGCCCTTCGGCTGAGCCCAAACACCGGTCGACCGCCGCATCGGTCCATTGGAACTGGAATGACAAGCATGAAGAGCATCGTTCCACACGTGAGCTGTGCGTGCACGTGCGCGATGCGTAGGCCGAAGTGTGCGTGAACACCTTGTCTTTGTCCAAACCTCGTTGCAAACAGGAAAATGAAGGCGGCTGGAATCAACTGAAAGCGGGATGCAGCTTTACGAACTTTTGGCGCACAATGCAAATGCAGCTGCAGGTGAAAATTTCATGATACAATGCACCTATGGTATACACTGCAAACTCTTCACACTCCTTCTCGGTGGAATGAGCGCGATTTCCTTCTCTAAGCTCACTCTGCCGCTATTCGATTTCTACCCTGCTGCTACTCCAAAGAATGGGGTTCCTTGAGGATGTTCCTCTTGGCTCCACCTCATCTGACATCATTTGAAATCGTTTTCTTTCATAGTCGATCATATCTGCTTGTTCTTGTCCTCTTCCTTCTAGTGCACAGTGCCTTATGTTCAAGATGTTGATTTTAGCCTCGAGTCGACCACATAGTACATCTTTCTGTTCTCTTCATACTCCACGCCGCTCACACATTCTGCTTTTCCACTTCGACATGGTCTTGATCCTGGTCTTTCTGAAGGAACTGTTGCTTGAGTCGTTGCCTCTAATGGCACATTGTGTCTGGAAAATTGTCCTAACGAGAGAGATCTCAAGTGTTCTAACTTCCTTCTTGCCAAGTAGTTCGCCGCGTTTGTTTTTGAGATCATATCATAGCCTTGTCTGTGTAGAGAATCTGGCTCTTGTCCTTCTACAAAGCCTCCGTTGAGAATCAATCCACAATGAATTCTCCTTGTGTACTTGTTAGATTGTCGAGTTAATGGTCATCTTCCTCTCGTCTGTCGAACTTGTATTCTACTTCTATCACTCGAATCTCTAAATTCATTCACTGTTCCCACAAGGAGGCTTCTTTATGTGTCCACTCTATCCTCAACATATTTCCATAGCCTCCACATTGCTAAGGTCATTGCTGCAAAACCGAAGACAATGATCATTGACAATCGTACTTTTCCAGTTCCTATTGGCGTCTTCAACTTCCACCGTGCACTGGTCAATTCCTTTCATGAAGGTAGTAGCTTCTGTAACCATTGGCTGCGAGCCCTCGAAAGTAACGATTCTGACAATCATCTTGGCAATTTTGTTGGCCTTGCGTGCAAAGTTCTTTCTCTCTTCGTACGCCTTTCTCTCAAGTTCACCAACCTTTGCGCGCGCCAATACCCAATAGGGTTCATCAGAAATCTAATCCTCTGGCCTCCAAGTGGCGATGTCTGCCATGTTGCTGTCTGTTGGTACTTGTACCATATTGAATGAAGTCTTTGCAGTTTTGAATTCACAGCAACTTGCCATCTAAATGTCTCGCCTGACCGACTCCTCTCTTTGTCACACGTTGGCGCGCACTCGAAGAATCTGTGATCCACCTTTGTCACGCGCAAACCCAAGAACTGAACGAATGTATACACCATCTGAAGCTGGGGAAACTAGTGCGCGCAGCTCTGCCTCACATGAAGATAAGCTAACGGTCTTCTGTGTTCGACTGCTGTTGAATAATGGACAACCATTCAATGCATGGAATCCTCCTGATGTTGACCTTCTATTGCTTTGTTTCCGCTACAGTCTGAGTCTGAGAATGTCTCTAGGCGCCAATAGTGTTCACTTTTCTTCACACAGCCTTCTCCTGCGTGTAGAAATTTAATCACCAGGAAATAGTCCACGGTCTTCTTCAAGTATCCTAAGAACTTCTTCAAGTGGTGAAAGGACATAGTTGTTGGGTTTGACATTCTTGAAGCCAATTCCTTGACAGTAAATGCCACGTCATATCTTTCTTGACAAAGATACCTGAACCAACAATGCTTCTGAACAGACTTCTCCTGCTCATTCAAGATCTCTGGCTTGTCTCCCATTTGGATCGAATTGTCTGAAGGTAGCTGTTGGAGTTTGACCTCTCCAACTTGCTCTTCATATGCCTTCAGTATCTGTTGGATGTATATAGTTCCCTGGTTGGGTCCATAGCTCTTCCCAGTTTGTACTTTCTCCTCAGGAAGTTGAATTTGCCACCGAACTTCTCAATCTTGCTCACGCTGGCGTCAAACCTGTCTTGAATCTTTGGAAGGAAGATTTCATTGATGTACTTTGAACAACCTGTGAAAATCAAATCATCCACATGAATCAGAATGCTGCTTTTTTCATTTCTTCCCAGGCATGGACATTCAGCACTGAACTTGTAATTGAATTCCTCGGTGGGGTGCCCTGTGAAAAGTCAAACCATGCTTTTGCTCCAACTCTCTGTCCAGGAAAAATCCTCTTCACTAAGTATTCTTCTCCTCTCAGGCTCACTTCAATTAACTTTCTTGCGGAACTTGCAAGAATGCATCCTTCACATCCAGACAACCTCGCGCAACTATGATGCGTTGGAAGCTTGCTGCCCCCGTTAACGTGTGAGTGTCGCCCTGGATCTGCCTCACGAAGAAGTTCGTGGACCTAAGATCAACGATGAAGCGGAGCACCTGCTGACCATCTTCCGTCAAATTGCCTGGTTTTGCCAGAGGCACCGTTGACCATCTTCATCTCTCCAATTCTGGGGACCTGGTCTACCAGGCGCACCAGGCCTCGGTCCCAACGGGCTCTCACAACTTTCGGCCACTCCGAACACGGGGCCGAGGTGGCAACCCTTGAGGCTCTTCGATAAGCAACTTCTCTGGATGCCTGACCTCTTCAGCAAGAGGCTCAAGCAATACCGCCAGAATGTCAACGATACCTCCATGATCTGGCGATGGCAGCCCTGGAAGAATCTGGTTAAGGCTGAGGTCCACAGTCTCACCTGTGTGCGAAACCCAGAGTTCATCAAGCTTTGAAGCCCATCCCACACACGCGGGACTCCCGGTTTGCTCTTCTCATCAATGAAAATTTTCAGCTGCTTCCATAGCTGCTTCAAAGACGCCTCCTGGGCCGGTGTAGCGGCGGCACTTCCAAGGGGTCCATCGGGATGATGCCACCCCCCCTGGTTATAGTTGATCGCGGCCACAATCAAGCCACGCCGCAAACATGAATCGACTGTGAATATCTGGACCAGCAAATGTCTGATGACCTGCTCTGCCGAGAAACCCGAGGGAACATCACCTCCGAATATGTTGAGAACCTCCTTCCATACAAAACCCATGCCTGATCAAACCCTGGCGGGCATTCTGGGTGGTTCGCTCGCCCACCATCTCTCCTTTTGCGCTCACCTTCGGTCTGCCCGACCAATTTGGCTCTTTCTTCCAAAACGAAGTCCCGTGCACCGCAAGGTTGTCCTAGGGGCCTGACCTGAGATCTTGACCTCTCTCTTGCGCTTTTGCTACGGACTTTGCCTTTTCCTTCTCGGTCCCTGACTCGACTCCAATCTTCTCCTGTCAAATCTGCTGTCTGACCTCTTGTCGACGAGGCTCAGCCCTTGACGTACTGCGTCCTCTTTTGGAGAGTCTCGCAGGCCTGGACGGTTGATCCATTTGACCGTGACTGGGTCTCGACTGGAGCTCCCGGACATCCTTCTTTTCCTTCTTCTTGTGCTCCTTCAAGCTGACCAACTTCTCCTTGTCCATGGTCTTTAGTCAAGTGTTCTGTCAGCGATCGCTTGCCCTTGTGGCCATCTCCATCCGAAGAACTCTCCATCTCCTCGCCTTTGCCGGCGGCGACCTTCTCCTTCTCCTCTTTTTTTAACTCAACCTGCTCCCCACGAAGGGGCTGCAGGCGTCTTTGGTTCCTTGGCCTCAAAGGTTTGCCCCACCTGATGCCTGCAGCTCTGGTGTGTTTCTGACTGGCCAGGCGGTGTGGGCAACTAACTCTCCATTTGGTGACATGGATGAGCGCACGCTTGTCTCATGTCTCCTCTGGAGGCGGACCCGGCAGCGCCCAGAGGGCCCCTTACAAGTGAAAACAGCTACCGTGAGGGACTGGACGACACGAACGCCACCATACCCCTGCGGGTTTCCTTTCCGAGCCACTTCATGTGACCGACTTCCTTCTTTGCCAAGCGTGCCGCTGATCCAGCCCTCTTCATCTTTTGACTGACCATCTAGCAGCACCGCTTCTGCGCCCTCGCGACTCAGTCCGAGGGACTCCGAGGGACTTCGCACGCTCTTCAAGAGCATCCATGGCTCACTGAGCGCACCTCCTACCCCTCTGGTCCGCCCCCTTACGGGTCTCAAACCAGAGGGGGGCACACCCACCACCTGAGCCGACAATCTCCACACGGTCACTCTCTCGCATATGTCTGCTATAGCAGAATTCATAATGTGTATATATATATATATTTCATATTCATCTATCTTCTAGAACTCGAGGACGGTCAAAATCCATGAGATGATGCGACTTAAGTGGCACATCCAGGCGTGAGCGCTTTTGACGATCACCTAGAATGCCTTGCTGTCTCAATCATCTAATTAACTGTCATGTCTCTGCGCAGCATTGCGGACAAAGCATGCCAGCGTACACATATCGAGCGGCCGAGTGGCCATACATTGCGTTTGCCAACTCGACAATCAGATTGCAAAAACAATCTGGTGAGTGGGGTGCAAAACGAATTGCTGTCAAGATATATAATCAGTCAGGCGCAAAGCTCTGCGTAAATGTGACCACTCAGGAGTGAAAGCGTAAAGAAAGCAAAGGCTTTGAATTTGCTCTTTACATCGATTTCTTTTCAACATCTTGAACAGCAGTTCTTTCGACAGGGCACCAATCGATCCCGAACGCTTTTCGGCGGGTCGGCGGGAGTTCGCCGAGCACGTCTGAATGGGAGTCTTCCGGAACATACAAAGCTAAAGGAAGTGAGAGTCACTGCATTCATGGGAACAAATGGGAGTCTTGAGAACTCTCAATCTGATATCATTCAGATTGCCTCATGTGCAGGCAACGCCTTTCATTGCACCTTTTGCGGAGGCTTCCCACCAAAGTGGGCCCATGTGGCACTACATGTGGCACTACGTA